ATTATTTTTTACGGATATGCGAATTACCTTGCAATTTGAATGTCGAGATTTATTTACATTTTTTATAAAATGATTTTATTGATTTATTGGAAAAATTGTCATCAAACTTAAGGCCAAATATGTGCTTTCTACAGTATGGTATACCATTACATTACAGAGAAAGCGGAGTGAAACAGTATTTAAATACAACTTTTCTGAACGTTGGATTGTTCGTGGTAGTCATATTTTGGTGGTGAGATATTAATATAATTATTTAATTCATAAAAATTTAAAAAAATTACTTATTATACTTATAACACTTATAATAAATACTGCAACAGTTTCTTTAGAACCAATGATGCTATTTAATATGAGACGATATTTTATGGAATGTATTGTCAAATGAATTGAAGAAAATGGTGGACATATCGAACACTTACTTTGACAAAAGGTTTAATGTTATTTAGTTTACCTTTTTTTAATTTGGTTTGTAAGTAAAATGTTTTGATTATGACTTTAATACAAAACGTAAAATGTTAAATGTAAAATCCAATTATTCTAATATTAATCAAATCCTATTATTTTATCCTGCTGATATATTTATTTTATTTAATAATTCGTTAACTATTAACTTTATTAAAGCTATTTTGATTGATTGATATTGATTGAGGTGCTAAAAGAAGTAGGGCTGGACGAACACGACATAGCTATAATAAGCAATACAAACTGGAACCACACAGGATGTGTTCGAACAGACAACGGAAATACAAATTATGTAAACATAGAACGAGGAGTGCGTCAAGGGTGCATTCTGTCCCCTATTCTATTTAATGTCTATGCCGAAAATATCATCAGAGCTTCTCTTGAAGATCGCCTTGATGGTGCCAGAGTCAATGGAATCATCATTAACAATGTAAGATATGCCGATGACACCGTAGTATTAGCAGCAATAGAAGACCAACTAAAAATATTGATGAACATACTATCAGAAGAAAGTCACAGACTAGGTTTGGATATTAATCTTTCCAAAAAAAAAATCATGGTATTACACAAGAACCTTCATGAACAAATTACACCCATCATACAAATCAATGGTATCACCCTTCAGAGCTCCCAAAGCTTCATATACCTGGGCAGAGAGCTAAACAGTCAGCTAGACCACTCAAAAGAAATTAGAAGACGTATTGAAATAGCAAGATCTGGCTTCATGAACATGCGTAAAATGCTCTGTAACCCCAAGCTATCAATCACAATAAGGTTAAGAACACTAAAGTGTTATGTGTGGTCTCTACTACTATATGGCTGTGAGACCTGGACATTAAAACAGTATGACGTCAACAAACTGAATTCATTCGAAATGTGGATGTACCGCCGAATGCTAAGAATAAGCTGGACCAGCAAAACTACAAATGAAGAGGTACTGGAAATAATGAACACACGACCTCATCTGGTTAATACAATCAAAATTAGAAAGACGTCATATCTAGGACACATAATGCGCCATAAGGAATTTGAGCAGCTCCAGGTAATATTAGAAGGCAAAATCGAGGGTAAAAGGGGTATAGGAAGAAAGAAGAAATCCTGGCTCCGACACATCAGAGATTGAACTCACACAACAGGAAATTACTTAATCCATGAAGCCCAGAACAGAGAGAAATTTGCCATATTGATCGCCAAACTCAATAGAGAAGGCACTTAAGAGGAGGAGGAAAGCTATTTTATACCAAAATTCAGAACTATTGATGTTTTTCTTTAATTTTCTTTCGTTGTCTGGAGTAATTGCGATAAATCAGAATTATGTAGTTGATTAAAAAATACCGGTAACTTGAAGAGAAAAAAAATTAAGTGCAAATGTATGCCACATATGTGGCATATGTGGCGCCCTCTATCAGCTACATCAAAGTATACATCAAATTATAATTTCTGATATTTAACTGAACCCAGTTGTAAATTTTTATACATAAATGTTGACAAACATGAAAGGTATAGCGAAGAATAAAATTTTAAATTACCACTTTAACACCCTGTATCTTTCTTAATATCGACATTTTATTAAAGCAACTTGACTTAAATCGTAATATTTTAAAGTGTAGAATCTACGGTTTCTTTTTGTACAATTACTTAAGGACCACCCTGTATAATGAAGATAGTACTAGATGAATGGGATGGAGGAATCACTATAGGGGGCAGAAAAATCAGTAACCTGCAATGTGCAAATGACACACTTATACTAGAAGCAAATGAAGTCAAAATGACTACCATCACCGAACGGCTAAGCCAGATTAGCAAAGAATTCGGACTTCAGATCAATAACGGAACAATACAAATACTGATCGTAGATAGAGCAAATAATAATCTACCGCACATATACCAAGTAGCGAATTTTAAAGTAGTAGACAGATTAGTAAAATTGGACTCCCTGATAACCAACAATGGCGATAGCTTCGCAGAAATCAAGCATAGAATAGCAACGCCAGACCGGAACAGCTTAATATATTAAAATATGGAAGGACTGAATAATAAAAAGAAGTACTAGGCTCAGGTTAGTTAATGCGCCCTCCTTTTTTCAATTGGTATATACGCATCTGAATATGAAACATGGACTCTCAAAATACTCGATAGAAGTAAAATGTCTTCGAAATGTGGTTCTATAAAAGAATTCGACACGTCTCCTGGACAATATACAGAACCCTTCTGTCAATTCTGAAAGAACATTTTTTTAAATTAAGAGTATTATTCTTTGCAAACATGAGCCACTAAATGACAGAATATGTGTTCTCAAATACGTTGTGTGAGCTATTATGTTCTATAGAGTTAAAACTTGATCACTTAAAGACTTTGAATGGGATTGAAGGTCTTCGAGATGTGGACCCTTCGTCTTATTTGGGCCAAAGAGACCGTAAATACCAAAACTAATATTACAAGAAAAAAATAAGAAAAAACAAGGACATGGCAGAAAACAACATTCCTGGCCAATAAATACAAAAGACTGGCGTGGAGTAATAGAAGCCAATGTAATATTGCAACAGGCTGAAAAGTGTTTTTAGTCTTTTTCCTTTTCAGTTTTTAGAGAAGAATTGGAGATTTGATCACCGACTGATGTGCAACTTTTCACACAGAACTCTCCCTCCGGTGAGTACCGATCGCACAAGGATATAAATTATTTTCATTCATTAATTTTTAATAAACGAAAATTTCTCCACCTAGATGAGATTCGAACTCACGACCGTTAGGTTTAAACGTAGGCGCTCTTACCACTGAGCCACAGAGGGGGTTGAAAATAGCAATTAAATTATAATCTTTGCATTATATTTACTGCCAATTGGTAGACAGCAACACGGGCCATTATATGGTAGTAACGACTATAAAACAAGAAATTTCAAAGAAATCTAAGCAAAACTAAATGCCACCAAATGTTTTAATGTAAAAAAGCCAAAGGACAAAAACATAAAAAAGTAGTTAAGACGGGATAAAATAAAAAAAATGGAATACATAATTCCCAATAAAGATACTGAGCAAGAATTGACACAAATACAGAAGATAATAACAAAAGCGGCAGAAAAGACATTAGAAAACATAAACAATGCAAACAGTAACGATTGGTTCGATACAGAATGTAAATAAGATTTAGAAAACACAAGGAAACCTAAAATCTAAATGAATATACCAAATACAACAGAAACAAGGACAAGTTATAAAGCAGCAAAGAAACAAGCAAAAGGGACCTGCAGAAAAAAGAAACGAGACTACAAGGAAATAAAGTTAGAAGACATGGAAAATTATATAATAAACAAAGAAATTAGGAATTTTTACCAAAAGTTAACCTCTATAAAGCTATGGGTCCTGGAATCGCATGCTGCTGCAGAAGTAACGAAGGCAAGCTAATAGGCCACTTACCAAGAGGACTAGAGAGGTAGGCATAATCCTTTGAGGAACTGCTAAACGTTCAGAAAAAGATGGTAAAACAGCAGAAATATTTAAGTAAGGTAAATAGCTATTGCTGAAAAGGATAACCAACCTAATAAAAGAATTTAAAAAAATGAGAAATTACCAAAAAGCTAAAAAAATTAATCCATATGACCGATCCACAAACAGGAAAATAAAATAGTATGCCAAAAATAGAGAGGAATTGCTTTGTCGGATGTAGCATATAAGATATTGCCTTTACTAATAAGAAACCGACTAAGAAAGTATGAATCTGAAATAAAAGGTAAATATCAAGGAGGGTTTAAAAGAGAAAGGTCTACAATTGATCAGATTTTTACGATGAACCACATTGCACAACAGCTACTAACCAAATTTAGGTTTGCACATTATATTTATAGAGTTTAAGCAGGCATACGACTCAATCAATAGAGAAAAACTATACTAAGCGATGAATCTAATAAAAATACCTACCAAACTTAGTGAAAATGAACTTAAAAGAAACAAAAAATAAAGTAATTCTGGAAGGAAGGTTATCAGACACTTTTATGGTAAGGAAGAGAATAAGGCAAGAAGATCCACTGTTCACAACTTTTTTAAACCTTTTCCTAGAAGCTATCCTACGACAAAGTGATGTTGAGACAGATGGAATAATATTCCATATATGAACTAGATAGTTAAATAATATACTACAAGAGACTACAAGTTATCGCTTTTGCAGAAAATATTGCATTAATTAAAAAATAATTGCACTGAACAGGTTCAGACTATTGGAAAAGTAAATCAATTCGAATACATTGAAATGACGATTACAAAGAGCAAAAGACAATACTAAAATAGAAAAAAGAATCACTAAAGGAAGTAAAGCTGTATGAGCACTAAACAGAATGAATAAATCTAAGTTAATATCCAGGAATACGAAAATCAGAATTTATAGCATTATAAAAAAAATAATAGCACAAAAAGCATGTTATATAAAACATGCTAACAGGATCAAAGAAGAAGGTTAGAAGAGGTTAAAACCAATGTAGGAAAACTAAGAATACTGGACTTTAATAAATCTATACATAATGTTTTAGAAGATAAAATCATCTTACCCTTTTATCCATATCATAATAACATTTCAATGTATTAAATATGGCTTCGCATACATCTGCACCAGCTAAAATAGATTAAATGCATTAGTATAAACCAGAAAAAATACAAAAAAATATAGGAAATTTTAAATAGACACAAAAAATTTACCTTGAGTACCACATTTTGTAATTACTGGTGTAGCAAAATCTTTCATCTCATCGGGTAAAATAGCTAGAGCGCCCTCCACGTCAATTTTTCCATCATCAGTTATCTACAACAAAGTTAAATGTAAAAAAAACTCCTTTAAGGGATACTAGGGCTATCACAAACTTTGTGCCATTTTCGGACCGATGTCTTCTTATTCAACTATCCGGAAAGCCAGTAAATATTAACATCATTCAAACTTATGCCCCTACGGCCGATAAACCCATAGAAGCGCTAGAAGCGTGGTATGCTGACGTAGAAAAACTAATAAAGATGACCAAAAAACGAGACCTAACATTTATCTTAGGTGACTTTAATGCTAACTTAGGTAGAGGAAAAGTTTCTGGATTGATCGGAAACTTCGGACTTGGAGCAAGGAACGACAGGGGAGAGAGAATTCTGAACCGAATTCTGCCAACAACACAACATGGTAGTGACAAATACTTGGTTTAAATTACACCCTCGCAGATTGTACACTTGGACTTTACCACAACACAATGAAAACAGAGTAATCCGTAACCAAATAGATTACATATTGGTCAACAAAAGATATCACAGTGCAATCATCAGTGCAAAAACATATCCTGGAACTGACATCAATTCCGATCATAATCCTGTTGTTGCCAAAGTTCGCGCAAGATGAAAACTAATAAAGAAACAAAAACCTCAACACCAACTATTAGACATCCAATTATTGAAAAACGACACCATACATCAGACAGTAAATAAAGAATTAAACAAAAATTTACGAAATATCGACCACAATAGAATTAGCGAGTACGATGACATAAACGTTCTGTGAAAAACTATTAAAGAACAAATGAACAATGTAACGGAAAAACATCTAAAAGTAACACCTAGAAATAACAAACAGGAATGGATGACAGAAGAGATTTTACAATTAATGAACAAACGAAGAGAATCTAAGGGAAAAAATGACAAGGACGAAGAATACAAAAGACTAAATAAAATAATTCGAAAAAAAATAACCGAAGCAAAAGAGAAATGGCTGGAAACAAAATGCGTTGAAATAGAAGAACTGCATCAAAGGCACGATTTTTTTAATTTACATAAAAAGGTAAAAAGTTTACATCGACTACCAAGAGAACGACTTTTTACACCATGCTGAACACGGATGACAAACTGCTAGAATCAACGGAAGATAAACTGAAAGAATGGGAAAACTATATTAAAATTCTTTTTCACGACATACGAGAAGAACCAAGATTGGAAAATAACAACGAAGGGCCAACAATTCTGAAATCATAAATGCAATTAATCATCTCAAAACAAATAAAAGCCCAGGTCCAGACGGAATATACCCAGAAACGTTCAAATTAATCAGCGAAGAAAATATCGAATTATTTGTCCTTTTATTCAATCGCATTTATGATACAGGTAAAATACCCCAAGATTGGCTGGAGTCAATATTCATCCCACTACCAAAAAAGCCAAACCCACAACACTGCAATCAGTTCCGTCTGATAAGCCTTATGTGTCATGCAGTAAAAGTCCTACTAAAAATCGTACATAATCGTATCTATAGAAAGTGCGAAACAATCATCGGAGACGATCAGTTTGGATTCAGAGCCGGCATGGGAACGAGAGAAGCCCTGTTCAGTTTACTAGTTCTCGCCCAAAAATGCTACGACCAACAGAAAGATATATTTATATGCTTTATAGACTTCGAAAAAGCATTTGATAGAGTCAGACACGACCTACTATTAGAACGTTTGCAAGAAGTCGGTTTAGATGGAAAAGACATTAAATTCTTAAAAAACTTGTACTGGAACTAAAAAGCCAGAGTTAGGATCGAAGGTTCCACATCCGCAGAAACAAAAATTAGGAGGGGAGTTAGACAGGGATGTGTTCTGTCGCCTCTGCTGTTTAATCTTTACTCCGAGTTTCTATTTAAAGAAGCATTGGAGGATTCCAAGGATGGAGTCAAGGTGAATGGCGTAAATATTAACAGTATCAGATACGCCGATGATACAGTGTTAATTGCGGATTCCGACTCAGGTCTACAACGACTCATTGACAAGACCAACTCGACCTGTGATCCATTTGGTATGAAAATAAACATTAAAAAAACCAAATTGATGTCAATCCGAAAAAACCAAAACGTACCTCAACCTTGCACAATAAATGGGCACATCTTAGAACAGGTCAATAGATTTAAGTACCTGAGATGTTGGATCGATAGCAGCCTAAATCCTGATCAAGAAATAAGATCGAGAATAGAACAGGCTAGAAAATCCTTCGAAAAAATTAAAAAACTGCTTTGTGATTCTCGAATAAAACTCGAAATTCGACTACGTTTATCAAAATGCTACGTCTGGTCGACTCTTCTATATGCAGTTGAAACGTGGAACCTTAAAACATCAACCGTAAATAAATTGGAGGCCTTTGAAATGTGGATCTACCGGAGAATACTCAAAATTTCATGGACATCGCATACCTCAAACGAAGAAGTGCTGCATAGAATAGGCAAGGAAAGAGAACTTTTTAACACAGTTAAAGTAAGAAAAACATCATACCTAGGCCACATACTGAGAAATAATAAATACCAATATGCCCAACTTATAGTGAAAGGAAAAATCGAGGGAAAGAGAGGCCTAGGAAGAAAAAGACTATCGTGGCTCAGAAACATCCGACAATGGACAGGGCTAAATTTTGAACAGCTAATAAGAACAGCTGAAGATAGAGAAGAGTTTAAAATTGTAGTAGCCAACCTCCATTGAGGAGAGGGCACTTTAAGAAGAAAAGGGCTATCTTGGTTTATTTAATCTGTGTTTGGAAGCTATTATAGATCTTTATTATTTCCTATTTTTCTTATATTAACACATAGTTCTCTTTTTTGTGGTTTTATTTGTTGCTTTTAAATAGGCTTTATCGCCTGCTATCTAGCCTTATGCAGATTTAAAACCTATTCTGATTATGCTGCTCAAGCTCAATATCTGGATCTTTTTTCTTATTTGTAGAACTTCATGGTTGTTTTCCTATCTACTTTTATAATTTCCCTAGTTCTTGTTTATTTTCTGTAGTGACTGTATAGTGATTCATTTTCATAGTTTCCATACGCCATGTTCCCCTTAAATTTTTACAGTATTGTGTTTCTTTCTGATCCATTTTGTCCCAGGAGAAGATAGAGAAAAAATGGTTTTTCTTGTCAGAGCACCGCATGCCAACAAAAAACTACTGAAACCTAAGTATCACTAAATATCCGGAATTAAGTCGTTCTTAAATTCAAGTAAGGTATACTCACGTCACAGAATTATCGACCACATTCAAACAGAACAGCCCTTCGAGAACCACGACAGAGCCCACCGCTATCGTAGATGCCTTTTCCTATTTTCTTAGCACCTCCTTTCTTATATACTGGTTTTTTTTTTCACTGTTTTTCTTACTTGCTTACAATTCTCTTTTAAGTTTGAAGATTATCTTTGTATATTTTGGTACTTATGAACTAGATAGTTTTTTTTATTTAGTAATAATTATTTCATTTATATATCTTTTTAATTTTATGATCATTATTTTTAATAACTTGAAGTAAATCAAGGGAAGCACAGATCAAGTTTAACCTGGAGACCATACCAACCTCCTATGAGATGGACAGATGATCTGAAAAGGACTGCCGGGAAAAATTGGCTACAATAGCGTACAATAAAAAACAATGGAAAGGAAGACTTGAAGAGGCTTATGTTCAGATGTCGACGTGAATGGCTAGACGAAGAAGAAGAAGAAGTAACGCTTAGTTGAACTATGGAGGGACATGGGCTATTAGGAAGATCATATAAAAGGATGGATAGACGAAGTTAGAAGGGATATTGAGGGTGGATAATTAGAAGATAGCAGCCAAGGAAAGGAATTTGGAAGCTTATGTTGAGCGAGGCCAGGACCAGACTTAAGCAATATTGCCAAGGGAGAAAGAGGGAACATTGGAATAATATGTCCAGTCAGTAAAAAGCGATATGTCATAACTTCAAAGGATGATTCTACCAAATGCAGCTATAATATTTTGTCTTATATTTAAATGCCCTCGTTTAAGGCTGTTTTAGCAGTCAAAACACACTGCGATTTGAAATGAGCGTATCACTTACTTTTCCTCACTGCTTACGCCAGCCGACGACGGGTACAGCTGTTTTTGCAGTGGCGCCGGCCGGCGGGTGGTTTAATGACAACAAATGCATTATTCTCCATTCAAATTACTTTTGTCGGGAATACCTTTTTTGTTTGATTATCGTAGATGTTTTAAAAATAATTATCACATTTTAAATTTATATGTCTTAGTTAAATATAGTATTGAATATAAATTTGTGAAACGTGACTGCAAAAAACATCATGGTGTTTATTTATAATAAATTTAAAATAACATAAAAATATTATTATCAAAAAAAAATACAATTTGTTGTCACAAACAAATAAACAATTGCGCAGTTATAGCTTGAAATTGATTTCAAATCAAACTAACTGACAGTACGTTCATGAGATTTTACGTCACGCAGCCGATAACGGTGAAACTAAATGCCAATGATGAGTAACACGCTTCACTATTAGATTTCAGTATTTTTTAGCAATTTCCTTCAAAGTTTGAACACGCGTTTCTCGATTATTACTGGACATAAAAAGGTGAAAAAAAAACCAACGATTACAGAAAAAAAACTCTTTCAAGTGATGGGCGTAAAAAGTTTGGTTATAATAGAACGTTAAACTGTATAATCCGATATTTCAAAAGAACTTTCAAAAAAAAAAACCATCAGTTTAAACGCAACATAATTTTAAATAACGTGTCCAAATTTCGAGATATTTTGTCGGTAAATAACAGAGAAAATACTGTATTTAGGTTTTGGTGTACCGATAAAACAGCCTTAATATTCTATGCAGAGAATATAATAGGAAAATAGTAAACCGATCCCGGGCATAAAAGCCAACAATATATCAAATATTAATAAAGAGTAATACAGAGCAGTACATAATAATACACAATTAATACATCTGTAAATGACAAAGAATGTGCTATCACGACAGACTGTATCTTTCTTAATTTTAAATTAATTAATGTCAGCATAAACTGAAAGCTCTTTACAATTCAATGCAAAAACTTTAGAATGTCAAATAATTTAGTAAATTTAAAACTATCTACCAAAAATGTAGATAAACGCTAGGTCAGATGGAGACCTATCCCGCACAATCGTAATTAATACTGGCCTTGGATAAAGTAACTCTTTTGTGCTATTTTTAATTTGACCATAGAAAACAATCAATAATACTTGTGGAATTAACAACAATGGTATAATATTGATTAAAACCATCCAACTTGTTGCATATTCAAATGAAATAGATATAGACAGAAGCGAATTTGTAGTTATAGCAGGATTCTCACTGCTAGACAAACATTTATAAAGTATGAGACTTTTAATTCTTCTTCTTCTTCTTCAAGTGCCCTGTCCGTTGCGAACGTTGGCTATTAACATGGCAATTTTGATCTTGTTTGCGGCGCTTCTGAATAGTTCGACCGATGTGAGCCCGAACCACTTCCGCAGATTTTGGAGCCACGAGTGTCTTCTCCTGCCTGGCCCTCGCTTACTGTCTATTTTTCCCTGGACAATCAATTGTAGCAGACGGTACTTATCGTGTCTCAATATGTGGCCTAGATATTCAAGCTTTCTTTGTTTAATTGTATTCACGATTTCTTTCTCCTTTCCGATTCTTTGGAGTACCTCTATGTTGGTGACATGTTCGGTCCAGGATATACGAAGAATGCGTCGGTACACCACATTTCGAATGCTTCTAGTTTTCTCGTTAGCGTCTCCGTCAGCGTCCAGGCCTCCACGCCATACAGCAAGATCGGAAAAATGTAGCATTTAACTATACGTAGTTTTAGGGGAAGAGACAAATCCTTGCTTATGAGGAGCTTTTTCATATTGCTAAATGCTGCTCTAGCTCGTTCTATTCTCGCCTTAATTTCTATGGTCTGTTCCCATTTTGCATTTACGTTGGTGCCAAGGTACACATAAGATTCTACATGGTCAATTAATATGTTACTTATCCGTAATTGTCGAGCAGGTTGTTGCTTTTTGCTTATCAGCATCCACTTTGTCTTCTTGAAGTTGAGGCTCAGGCCGTATTCCTCACTAACTGAATAAAGTCTTTCCATTACTTGTTGTAATTCGTCTATGGTACTGGCAAGGATCACCGTGTCGTCGGCGTATCTTATATTGTTCGTTAACTCGCCGTTTATTTTAATGCCCTCATTTGCATTTTCCATACATTTGTTAAATATTTCCTCGGAATACATATTGAATAGGAGTGGGGATAATATACACCCCTGACGGACACCCCTTTTGATCTGCACGCTTTCAGTGAGTTCGTTGCCAATTTTTGCTCTTGCTGTTTGACCCCAGTATAGGTTTGCCACAATTCGAATGTCCTTGTCGTCAATACCTGTCTTTCGCAGAATACCTATCAATTGTTCATGATTGACATTGTCAAATGCTTTTCTAAAATCTACAAAACACAGATACACGTCTTTATCAACGTCTCTACACCGTTGTATAAGCACCTGGAGAGCAAAAATTGCTTCTCTAGTTCCAAGTGCTTTCCGAAAACCAAACTGCGATCTATCAATATTTGACTCACATTTATCATATATTCTTCTGTGAATGATCTTAGTGAACGCTTTAGTGACATGATTGATCAAGCTTATGAGCCGGTAGTCATCACAAATCTTGGCATTTGGTTTCTTCGGGATTGTAATAAATGTTGACTGTAGCCAGTTCTCCGGGATTTTACCGCTATTATATATGTTGTTAAAAAGTACAACTAGATTGTCAAGGAACTGTTTGTCTGATTTACATAGGATCTTTAATATTTCGCAGGGTACATTGTCCGGACCTGCTGACTTATTGTTTTTTAGTGCTTTTAATAGACATCCAAAAAACCAAAACTATGGTAATAACATCAAATTTTATTTCTCTTGATACAAAGAATGATATGATTAACGAAATCAAAAAACGAATTTCTTTTGCAAATGCATTTTATTTTGGTTTACCAAGACAACTAAAATCAAGTAATATGTCGTATATAAAGCGATTTAATTTAAAGTATACAACCTACAGAATTATGTTAAGGACTTCTCTACGTGATAGAATACCCAATGCTACTATACGCAAAAGATCAGGAGTAGTAGACGTTATTGAAAGGATAACAACACTAAAGTGGAACTGGGCAGGTCATGTAGCAAGATCAGTTGATGACCGGTCGACAAAAAGAATTTTGGAATGGAGACCCCGAATACAAGCTTACAGAAATAGAGGTCGACCCCCAACGAGATGGACAGATGACATAAAAAGAGTGACTACAAATTGGATTCAGATGGCGCAAAATCGGACTAAGTGGAAAAGCATGCGAGAGGACTATGTTCAGCAGTGGACGTTAGAGGCTAGTTGATGATGATACAACCTACACAGGGGACTAAATTACATAATAAATACATACATACATAAATCAATAAATAAAACTAATAGATTTAGTTGCAGGATGGGATATGTTGCAAGAAATTCGGTTCAAAAATTGATGTTTTAAAAACTTGTGGCGAGAGAAAACGTGTCGGACCAAAAAACAGTTCCTGGATTATTTAAAAGTAGATCTCTAGGTTTGGGAATAAGAACAAGATTAAATGAAAATATCCTTAAAAGATCCTAGAGAGATATTTTAAGGACATTTAAGGCTTATAAAGAGTTCTGAAGCTATAAAAATAAACTAATAAACGTCGTGTTCTTTTGTTTTATTTTGTTATTTCTAACTGTTAGAATTATTAATTTTAAAATTTTATCTCCTTATCCAAACCCCTACAGCTATAAGAATATTTTCTGTAGTATTCACCTTTTATCGTCTTTTGCTTTAGAGTTTTCCATTATTATTTTCATGAGCCTAAGACGTTTGAAATGTTGATTTCTTTTTAATATCCACCAACCGTTGAGATCTATATTTATATGGAATTAAATTTATTATTTACCATTTGCATGTACTAAAACTATAAGTTAAATAAAACATTTACACTTACCACGCCAATTTCATCAAAAACACATTTCATGTAACATTTTAGTTTAGGATCTTCAACAAAATCTCCACTTTTTGCTTTTTCAATGACATCTGTAAGGAAAACATAATCGCTATTAAGAACTTTAAAAATTAAATTATCAGGTTGAAAAAATTAAGTACATACTTTGTAGCTACCGTAAATAACTAATGCAATAGAATCCTGATGTACGGAAGTATGGAAGAAATATGGTACCTTATTTATACTTTATTAAGATTACTCTGCCTATCACGGATGTAAGTTTCAAATTAAGTGATTATAAGAAAAGTGAATATCTATTTTTTTATTAGGATTACTACTCCTTTTTCTTTTTTTTTTATTCAATTTGTTCTTGCTATTTTTTAAATGCCATCTATTTATTACATCTACAGCTTTCCTCTTTTGCGTGTACCCTTGTAGGATCTACAATACTTTATTTTATGATTCTAAAGTGGGTCCTGTTGTCTAGCAGTGTGATCTGTGAAGCTTCATTTTAGTTTGGCAATTTTTTTGCGATATCCTCGAAATTTTTGTTTTTGAACTTATGTCGTATGTCTCTCTTTACGTGATAGTCACATACCCAGCATTGATCTTTCTATTGCGGCTAGTTTATTTATATTTGCTAGTTAGAGTCCAGATTTAATATTAATATGTTATGATAGAAAAAAGGCACTGATTGAACCACAAGTATTAAGGTATTTTGCGATTCTTAAATATCTGAGTTTTATAAATCCTGTTCATGCTAGTCTTGGTATTCTAGTGATTTTCGCACTTTTGCTTACTCTGTCAAGTTTTAGAATTTGGCTTGTTAGATATATTCTTGGAATTGTCCTCTCTCATTACCATATATAGTCATATGTCTGGGGTCGTCTCTGTTTGTCATTGTTTTTGTTTATGTCATATTTAGTTTTAGGCTGACTTATTGGGAACTGTATGCAGGTTACTTCACCATTGTTTGTAATTTCTCGAATATGCTCACTTTAGTCAGATATCCTTAGCCATCGTTGCCAGTAACCATTGTTGCCATTACCGTTGATGTCATATGTTGGCTAATTTGTCGTAACAAAGACAAGGTGACTCAAACTTCAATGAGTTTGATTCTCACTTACAGTTCACTGTTGAACTTGAGGACCCTATCAGAAATGGTATTCCCTTATTAAACATGCGGGTCATTAGAATGGGAGATAACACCTTAACCACAATATAGGTATAGGTATATTGGTATAGGCAACCAATGGCCTATAATAGGTTTCTCAACTACCATTCTTGTCATCCTTTTAAATATAAATTGAACCTTATTAAAGTTTTAAGCTGCAGGCTAAATAGTCTAACACATCCGGTTAATCTAATGAATTACATAAATACTCAATAAATAACATACATTCCAAAACATATATCTCTGATATAAGTGTAAATAATTTAAATAATACAATAGTAAAGAACATCACTTTCATCTGACAAACAACCACAATATACCTATCTCTAATTCATTGGATCAAATCTGTTCTCCTCAAGAACTTCCCGTTTATTGTCAAAACAACTGCAATAGCACATTAAAGTTTTCCAATCAACAATACATGATTTTTGCAACCATGACCTACCATCCATCAATTAATAGAGTACCGGCATGTAAGTCTGTTTTGTTTTATTTATTTACTCATTTATTAATTTATTACAATATAAGATTGCTACTTTATACCAATTGTGGATCTTACCTTGTCTGTTAATACCTTTTATATATTCAAATTATTCATTTTGAAAACCACAGACATGTAATATTGGCATAATTACTATAATTTGTATGAACTAACTTATTTGTTTATTTTATCTTTATGAGACATCACCCTAATTGGGTTTATTTTATTGCAGCATTAGTTTAACTTTGTATCTCGACCTGAAGATGCTTTGCAAATTGTAGAAAGCGAAACCGGTCGTCAGATTGTTAAATTAAATTGATTGTGAGTAAGTCTTATTATTATTTCTTTACCTATTTGATATGGACTCACACAAGCAACACATTCATGATTCTTCAACTACCTTAATTATCTTATCTTTATCTGTTACCACTTTCCCATTTCGATCTGCGAGCTTAACAATGTTCTTCTTACCTAGAGCTTGACATCTCTTCAGCACCTTTAAACTTTTATTTTTCTCGACAACCGTTGTAATCTTTTTTGTGTTATATTGTCGTACGTCCTTTCTCACTGCTTTATTACTATCTTTATTAAGTTGTTGTAGTACGCGTGCATTCGTATCGTTTTTGTTCTTAAGTTCTCTTCGTGCCTCCATAAGTCTTTTTGTTTCTTGACTGAGCTTTTCCTCCTTATCTCTCCTAGAATTTGTATTGCACTTTTTCTCTGCGTTCTTAATAGCTTTTATTAAGTTATCATTTAAGGTTTTGATATCCATAACGTCTATATTTGTTGTCTCTAGACATCTCAGAATTTCCTCTTCGAAGGACATGGTATTTTCGATTGGATTCCATTCTATTGGGTGTGTTTTTCTTATCATTTTGTATTTTTGTTTTTGGAGATTTAGCACGATCTTCGCTCTTACCATTCTATGATCACTTCCCACTGAACAGCTATTAAGAACTGTTACATCATGGATCATGTCTTTGTTGTTAGTTAAGACAAAATCAATTTCATTTTTGGTGACTCCATCTGGACTTGCCCAGGTCCATTTTCTTTGGGGACTTTTTTTGAAAAAGCTATTCATTGCAAAGAGGCCATTTCGTACCAAGAAACCCAAAAACATTTCGCCTCTTTCATTTCTTTGTCCGAATCCATAGGGACCTATTGCTACGTCGGTCCCGTCTAGTTTACATCCCAACTTAGCATTAAAGTCACCCATTACTAGGTTGTGTGTAGTAGGCGCTAGTTTTACAGCATTTTCTAAGTCTTCATTAAAGGTTTCCACTTCCTCGTCCGAGTGTGTAAAGTAACACTGGTATCATCAGTAAAAAGAAAAAAAATTTCAGCGATTTTTAAGTTAGTGATGTTATTTATAAAGATAAGGAAAAGTAAAGGACTCAATATTGAACCTTGTGGTACTCCACATACAATGCTTTTGTGACTAGAGTCAGCATTATGTGCTCTGACTACTTGTTTCCTATTACTTAATTAAGATTGAAACTAATTCAAAGATATACCTCGAATTCGGTAGAAATTTAGTTTTTTTATCAAAATGTCTTTATTTATACAACTAAAAGCTTTGGCATAGTCACAAAAAACAGCGGTTGTACAAAGACTATGATTTAGTGCTTGATAGACCTCATGTAGTACAGAAAACATAGCATTGCTGGTACATTTATCAAATGAAAAGCCGAACTGACTTTGTAATAAAATGTCTTCAACGAGAAAGGACATGAGTCGGGAAGTATTCATTTTGATTCTTAGGGTTTAGAAGAGAAAATGTTATCATGTTATGTTATAATGAGCTGTGTTAGTTTTATTTTGAAGATTGCTTATTATGGACGAAGCTTATTTTTGTCATTTTTTGGAAAATTTCGTTTTGGAGAGATAACGAAATAGTAGTTTCTGTGACTTTCCCTTGATTTTTGTAGGTAAATAATTCTTTCTGAAGTGAAAAAAGATCTTAAAACAGCGAGATCAGCTTCTACCCCAGTTGGATCAATTCCATAGGCGTCGTTAAATTCTAGAAGTATTTTTCGCAGATCTTGAGTCTTACTTGAAAGTCCTTCAGAAGCCGAAAAGAGTTTACCGCTTGTTTTTCGTAACATACTGAATCGAGGTTCGTCGTGTAAAAACGCAAGATGTATCTTAATGGCTTTCAAGATATCCGGTTCCCTTAATCTTGTTAAAAGATATCGACTGTAAATTTCTGAGCTAATCTGAGCTTAATCTAACTTTTGGTAGTGTCAAAAGATCCAGATTTATCAAAGGTTTCAAATTATCCTTCTTAATTAACTTAATATGAGAATGAAAAGCATTTTTAGATTTGCAAATTTCGATCGCCTGCTTGTTTGTGACTATTTTTGTGTTTCACACTTCATTTTTGTTGTTGTTTAAGATTGTAATTGGATTTTCCATCTTAATAAGGCTTCTAATGTTCTCCGGACCTAAATTTGACCCAGATGAAGGCGTTGGTTAGGAATATGAAGATTCTCTTGACCATTTAATGTTTAAACTAGGTCGCCAAATTTCCTTATTATAATATATATTTGTTGAGTATATGAGGAATTTATTATACAATTAATAACAGCTTGTTCTGTGGCTCATATCACGATACTATCAAATGATGTATCATAATTATGAAGGCAAGAAATACGGGTAGTTGGTATTCATTTGCCTTCTATATCAATATTCTTATTGTCTTTAGGTCCGCTGATGTCCCTACCAAATCTTTTACTAGATCTAGGCCGTTATACCAGTGAGAATTATCTATTTTGTGAGTTAATTAGTTGTTCATAATTCTGTTAATAATTTTGCTACTATAGAGACATCTATTATATAGGTGTGTTGCTTATTTTTCAAAACTTGGCAATTATACCGTCGTGTCCCGGAGCTTTATTATTCTATTCCTACATTCGGTAGTACCTCTAAACCTATGTTTTTTTAATTTTCTTTTGACGTGCTCTTTAGTTGATTCATTAGGTTGACGTTGTGAGTTCTATAAGCTTTTGTCAAAATCTTCAACTCTTTCTGTTATTCTGTATTTATTATATGCATATTATCACCACTATTATACACCATGTAATTTTAATCTATAATAAGGAAAAGTACTAGACGAATAGCATGAATGAATGACTATAGGAGGGAGAAAAATTAGTAATGTGCGATCGATGCAGAGAACATAGGTCATACACTTATCATCATCACAGTCATTAACATCTTAGTAGATGTGTTGTGGCTCATAATTGGGCTTCAGCAGCTCGGACAGTTTGATTGATAATATTTCTCCACTGGTCGCGGTCATGAGTTATATGTATTGCCTCAGTATACTGTTTATTGAAAAGCTTTTTAGTAATGTCCGCCCATCGCTGTGGAGATCTTCCGCGTTGGCGTTGAGTCTGAGGCCTTCCTTGGACCACCAACTGCTCCATTTTGTGATCACTTCGATGGATATGGCCAAAGAACTTTAAAATTCTAGAGTAAACGGTACTGGAGAGACGCTGATCCGGTTTAATTTCATCCAGAACCGAGATATTTGTACGGCGAGCCGTCCATGGAATTCGAAGCAGGCGTCTCCATGTCCACATCTCAAAGGCGTCTATACGTCGTCGATCTGATTCTTTGACTGTTCATGTCTTGCATGCATAGTAAAATATGGAAAAGACCAGAGTTGAAACGAGTCTCTTTTTGTTTGTCATAGTAATGTGACGATCACGCCAGACCCCGTTTAGTTCACTCATTGCTGCTCTTGCTAGTTGAATGCGTCTTCTAATTTCGGATTCACAACTGCCTGTGTTGTTAACTAGATCTCCAAGATATATCATAGATGAGACTACCTCGCATTCCGCAATAGTTTGGGTTTCAGGAAACTGTTGTTGGCGATCAATAACCATGATTTTGGTTTTGTTGTAGTTAACCATGAGTCCAAATTTAGCACTTTCTACCTCGAGTTTTTTTAATAATTTAATCATTTCTTCTGGAGTAGAGGCTAGAAGTGTAGTGTCGTCTGCGAAACGCAAGTTAGATATCTTAATATACATACACTTATACTAGCATCAAATGAAGTCAAAATAATCACCAAACAGCTAAACTGGATAAGCAACACCATAATTTAAAAATAATGATAATAGTGAAGACAAATAATAATATACCATACCGACATAAAGTGGCGAATTTTGAAGTATTAGACAGATTTATAGACTTCAGTTTCTTGATAACCAACAATGCGATAGCTTCTTGGAACTCAAGTGTAGACCAGCACTAGTCCGAACCGCAACAGCTAAATTAATTAAAATATAGAAAGACCAAAAAATATTAAGAAATGCTAAGCTCAGGTTGGTCAATGTTCTTATTTTCCCCATTGCTACATAAACAGCTAAAACATGGACTCTCAAAAAAATCGATAGACGTAAGATCGAAGCTTTTGAAATATAAGTCTACAGAAGAACTCTACGCGTGTTCTGAACAGAACACAGAACGAACCTGTCAATTCTGGAAGAGCTTCATCTAATAGACAGGCTACTAAAAAAAGTAAACCGAACATAACTAATTTATTTCGGCCATATGGCCAGAAAAACAGGGCCCATGGAACTATTCGTAGTAGAAGGAAAGGTAGAAGACCAAAGATCTCCAACACGATGGGCAGACCAAATAAAGACTCTGGTGGAAAATATCCTACATGCAGCCATCCATCTGGCACAGTATTGCAACCAATGGAGATATTAGCTAAAAATATTTAGAGTGCTGCCACGCCCTGACAACGGCTCAAGGACTGAGAAGGAAGATCAAAAGAAAATTTTTACAATTTTAGCATTTACCCATACCAAACTCTTTCGATACATTTACAAATTAAAAGCTCTTTATAAAAAATATAAAAGATTTAAACATTGGATTTATGTAACGTAATGATAGTCATGTCTATGTCACGATATTATTTAAATTCGTATTATGATTTACGGTAATATAATAAAGAAGTTTTACTATTATTATTAAATATAAGGTGGTAAATCAATATCACGAGATGTTTGGTGAAGACTCTTATGTTAAACGTTTAGGCAATTGTAACAAACAACGCTATAATCGAATATTTAAACGATTCCAATTCATAAAAATTTTATTTTCCAATTATATATTATTGCAAAAAAAATTTCTTAAACTCACCTTCGCCAACTCCGGTTTGAGATACACATTCGGCATGTAAAGAATTCATTAACTGTTGTTGCTCTTCTGTGAAAGCCTAGAAAATAATTTGTTAAAGGCGTTAAATATTTACTTATATGGAGTTTTTAATATAATTTGAATACTAAGCATATAATAAATTATTTTTGATTCATAAACTCGCCATGTGATAGTTTTTTTATTACCGAGTGTCTTGATTTCCTACAATATGAGGAGCTCTATATTTTCATAGGCTTCTATTCTGGGCTGCTCTCGTTGAGTCTCTGAGAGAATCTCTTGCCATTGGCTTTCTGCACTTGATTTATCCATCGAGTGGGTAAGCAGGCTTTTTATCTACCACCTCTAACGTTTTCCTAAATTATAAGTCTCTCAATATTATCTTTACTTCTTCTTGCAATATGGTCGAAAAGGTGTCTTAAACAGCAAGACAAATAGAGAATACAGAAGTCTTAATATTGAGTTCTTGGAGAATTGACTGGCTTGTTACGTGCTTTGGCAATAATTCCTTTTTCATTGCTCTATCTAAAAGACGTATGTTTATTTCTTATCTATTTTATTAGTTACAGATGCTGGGTATCTCGCTCAAAGACCATAAAACCAATGAAGACATTCGTAGTAGAACAAAACTAAAAGATGCTGTCGAACAAGCAGCTAAACTGAAATTAAAATGGGCTGGATATAACGAACGTCTTAAGGATGGCCGATAAAATAAATACATTATGATTATACAATTTTGTCAAGAAGAAAACATGAGAGTTACCAACACATGGTTCCAACTCCACCCCCGTCGCCTATATACTTGGAAATCTCCAGCCGATAGAGCTCATAACATAATAAGAAACCAGATAGACTTCATTCTTATAAACGGTAGATTCAGCACAACTGTCAAAAGAGCTTGCACATACCCTGGAGCAGATGTCCCTTCTGACCACGTACTATTAGTGGCCGTCATAAAGATCGCTCTTTCATGCAAGAACAAGCCTGAAACTCAACAACAGATAGCACTGGATAAACTGAAAGACCCAGTGATACAAGCAAAAATAAGCAATGAAATAAACGCACAAATTCAAATACTAACGACAAACATTACCGAAGATATAACACCAACATGGAATACGATTACAAGTGCTGTAACAGACATCATGAAAAACAACTTAGGGTACAAACGAAATAACAAGAAGCAAAAATGGATGACAGAAGAAATACTATTACTAATGGAAGAACGACGAAGACACAAGAATAACCAAGATCGCAGCAATATGTATGAAAACATTAACAGGCAAATAAAAGCAAAAATAAGAATAGCAAAAAATGAATGGCTTAAGCAACAATGTATCGATCTAGAACATTTACAAAGACAACACGACGACCGTAATTTACATAAAAAGCTTAAGGAGACTGCTGGAATATACAGAAAACGAAGACCAACTACCATAGTTAATCAGGATAACCAGATAGTGCTGGGTGAAAAGGAGAAAATTGATATATGGGAAAATTATATCCAGGAGCTCTTCCATGACGAAAGACCCATGAGTGAAGTTTATACAGACGACCAGCTGACTGGCCCTTCAATCACCAAAGAGGAGATAGAAAAAGCAATATTAAATTCAAAAAACAATAAGGCACCTGGACCAGATGAGATCCCGTCAGAAATACTCAAATTACTAGATGAAAGGGGAATTTCAGCACTACACAAAATATTTAATTTAATTTATGAAACTGGCTGCTATCCTCAACAGTGGTTACGCTCTACCTTTATTCCCCTGCCCAAGAAAGTCAATGCAAAAAGATGTGAGGATCACAGACCCATTAGCCTGATGAGTCACACTTTAAAGATATTCTTAAAAATACTACATCAAAGATTATACAAAAAATGTGAATGGGACATCAGTGATTCACAGTTCGGGTTTAGGCAAGGTTTAGGAACACGAGAAGCAATAGTAGCAACACAGGTACTGGTCCAAAATTGTTACGATCAGAGGAAGGATGTGTTCCTATGCTTTTTAGATTACAAAAAAGCGTTTGATCGTGTCCAACACCACAAGTTAATGCAGATTCTCAAGAAAGTTTATATAGACCAAAAAGACATAAGATGCATTGAAAACTTGTACTGGCATCAAACGGCACAGCTAAAAATAGACAATTCTATATCTAAGCCCATACATATAAGAAGAGGCGTTCGACAGGGATGTGTGCTTTCCCCTCTTTTATTTAACATTTATTCAGAAGCCATATTTCAAGAGTCTTTGGAGGATGCAGAGATGGGAATCAAGGTGAATGGAGTATTGATCAACAACATAAGATATGCTGATGATGGTGTCTTAATTTGTGACAACATAGTCGATCTTCAACAACTTGTCACTATAATCGGAGAATACAGTGAGCGAATGGGACTAGAGATTAATACCAAAAAGACCAAATTCATGATCATCTCCAGAAACTTGGATGCATTTGAAAACTCCACCATAACACTGAATAGTAAATCCATAGAAAGAGTGAGTAAATTTAAATACCTGGGATCGTGGCTTTTTGAAGACTGGGCATCGGACAGGGAAGTAAAATGTCGCATTGAGCAAGCTCGACAAGCTTTCGTTAAATTCAAGAAGGTACTGACTTGTTCTGAGTTCGATCTTCAACTGAGACTAAGGTTTACTAAGTGCTACGTATGGTCAGTGCTGCTATATGGCGTAGAGGGCTGGACACTCAAAACGAGGGATATAAACAGATTGGAAGCTTTCGAAATGTGGCTTTATCGCCGTATCCTAAAAATACCATGGACAGCGAAAATCACAAATATAGATGTCCTTAAAAGAATAAACCAAGAACGCCAACTTTTCGAAACCATCAAGAAAAGGAAAACGGCGTATCTAGGTCACATCATGCGAAATGAAAAATACCAGTTCCTCCAACTTATAATCGAGGGTAAAATTGAAGGCAAGAGAGGAATGGGACGCAAGAAAATGTCCTGGCTCCGAAACATAAGGCAATGGACAGGGATTAACGACATACAATCTCTGATACATATTGCAAGAAATAGAGAGTTAATGGAAAATGTGATCGCTAACATCCATTAGTGGATTTGCATCTGAAGAAGAAGAAGAAGATAAAATAAAGAAATTGGGAATTAGCGGTCATATAAAGCCAAAAGACCACGAGGAAGACTGCACTGAGCTGGAGTGACGATATTAAAGGACGATATTCAGGACCGATGTGAAAACGTATTACAAACAATGAAGATGAATGGCGAGAATTAGGGAGAGGCCTATATTCGGCAATCCGAATAGAGAAAAAGTTTTAAAAAATATAACGTGCATACTCTCCAACGATCCTAGTATGGGATAGCGATATGACAAGATAATATTGGTAATACAGAGAAAGATAAAAAGAGAAAGGAGTGTGGGAAGAAGGAGAGTGTTATATTTGAAGAATTTAAGCAACTAGTTTAAATGCAGTTCAATAGAACGCTTCAGAGCAGGAATAAATAGAATATAGATAGTGGTGATAATATCCAACCGATTGGAAAAGGAAACTTAAAGAAAAAGTGGATGATAGAAGGCCAGAGTCACATTATCCAAAATTAACTACGTAAGCACAAACAAAATCACTCAGAATATTAACTTAAAAACATGGCTGTGTGCCTATAAGATCAAGGCAAAGTGAAACAACTGCCAAATAGGATGATATAAAGCGCAAAGCGAAGATTGATACAGGACTACAGATAACACAATTTCCTAATTTAAAAATTTTGTTCCATATTCGAAACGTTAAAAAAATGTAAAATTTAATTTTTATTGACAATTAACAATCAACTCTTATTTATAATCTCACATAAATACAATATTTATTAATAGAAACGTTTTTTAGATAAAGCAAAATTTTGGGTTATTGGTAAAAATAAAAACAAAGGACTTAGTGGTGGATGATAAACATGAAACCAAAAAAATGTACTCACCATTGCTCCACAAACTAAAAATCCAAACACTATAAAGCTTTTCATAGTGTATGACTGTTCTCAAGATTCCCACAAATCATTAAGTGAACATTTACGAAAAATGTTTAAATAATATTTTTAGAACTAGTAATTACCTCCCACATTTATATAAAATTTTATTGACAATTTGTAAACATGTAATTTTTAGATAAATACCATTTAAGGCAGGATGTTTCTATTTTTTGTTTATGGTCATACTTTGTAATGCACTGTTATTATGTAAATTATATTAAAATATTAGCACACTAGTTAATTCCTTGTTAAGTATTACACATTAAATTAGGCAGTTAGTTATTAGCTTTTTATCAATGAGATGCTTAATTTGCTAGGGTAAGTTTGATGATATCTATTTGTTTGTCGGAAGAGTAAAGAGGAAAACAGAGAAATAAAACGAAGAAGGGCAAAAGAAAAGAATGAAGAATGGGAAGAAACATGTGCACAAATTGAACAATACATAGGAGGAACAAGGAATTCGGAATTCTGGAAAATACTGAAATCTTTAAGGAAAAATAACAACGAAAAGGTCCAAATACAATACATATCAGAACAAGAGTGGAAAGACTACTATAAAGAACTACTCACAGAAAACCGCCCAGATTTCATAGAGACAGACACAAAACATGAACAACAACAAAATCAGAATGAAGAACAGATTGAGATAACATTAATCGAAGTAAAGAATGCCATAAAGACATTAAACAACAAAAAAACAAGGGGACCAGGAGGAATCGTTAATGAACTAATTAAGTACAGAACGGACAAACTGCACAGAATTATACACTTGTTCAGTAACGCTACAAACCTGAACGAAATACCAGATGAATGGTCCAAAGCATATAACCTCGATACAAAAAAGGGAGAAAATAAGAAATGCGGGAACTACAGAGGCATCAGTGTGATAGCATATATGGGCAGGTTATATGGAAAAATACCAAAAAAAAGCTGGAAAAATCTATCTCAAATAAAATCGGAGATCAGGTGGGGTTCACGGCATACAGATCTTGCTTAGACCACATATACACACTCCAACAATTAATTGAAAAAAAAATGGCAAAAAATAGACCAGTACACATGGCATTCATAGATTTAAAAAAGACATATGACACGGTTCCCAGAAAAAACTATGGAACACGATGAAGGAAATCGGAACAAGTCAAAGGTTAATAGAAAACGTAAAAATCCTTTACAACAAAAATCAAGGTGAGAGTTAAAACCGGTAATAAATTCTTTAACGAATTTAAGACTACAAAAGACTTATTGCAGGGATGCTCTACATCTCCGACACTGTTTAAGATATTCCTCGAACAAATATTAAAACCATGGAAAAGGAAATGTGAAGGGATGAAAATACCAATCCGGGACAACTACTTGTACACATTAAGCTTTGCAAATGACCAAGTGGTAACGGCTCAAGATGAAGATCTGTGCTATATGCTCCGAAAATTAGAAAAGAAATATACAAAAAATGCACTGGAAATAAACCTAAAGAAGACCGAATATTAACAACAGAGCAAGAACCAGTGAGAAACTTGGAAATGGACGATAATAGGGAAATAACCGGCACTGACAAATTCAAATATTTAGGATTCATACTCTCAAAAAATGGAACCACCGAGCAACAAATAACCAGCAGATCAGCAGAGACATGAACATGTATTAAACAAATGAACGGGGTACTGTGGAAGAGATAGATTACCAGAAATACAAAGAAGAGAATTTATAACACCTTGGTACGCAGTATAATGACCTATGGAGCAGAGAATTGGGTAATAAATAAACGAAACAGGTCGAAAATCACAACAACTGAAATGGAGTTCATGAGAAGAAGCTGCAGAGTGACAAAAATAGATCACATCAAAAATGAGGAGATGAAACGAAGAATGGCAGTAGAGCAAGACATACTCAGCTACATCGAAGAAAAACGTTTAATTAGGTATGGACATGTGAGAAGAACAGATCATACAAGGTGGATAGCAAATATTTCGGATTGGAACCCAATAGGAAGGACAAACACAGGTAGACCCCGAATATCATGGTGGCACGAGGTCATGGAAAGACGAGACCTTAGAGATGGAGAATGGCAGAACAGAAAGGACTGGAGATGTTGGCTGAAAGAAGGATGGTGGCGACAGCTGTAAAAATCCTTATATAGATAGATAGATATTTGTTTGTATTATATACATTTGATAAAATTATTAATATATTAAAAAATTTCTGTCTTCTTCTTCAGCCGTTCTCTATTGTTTCAATGTAGACCTCCTTCAATGATCTGTAGTTTTCTTTATTTTGGTTGGCTAGTACCAATTTAATCCTGCTGTTTATCTTGTTTCGGTCTTCTTATAGTCTAAGTCCTAAATCTAGATCGACGTTTACCCATCTCTTTACCTAATGAAAATTATTTTTATCAAATTTCATACATAAACAAATATGTCTTGCTTATATTGCCAATCAATATATGTTTATACCTATCCCTATTTAAAAAAATAATAACTATTTTTTTAAAAAGTTTCTTTACCAATCAAATGTTATTGAAACTAAAAGTTTAAAGCATATAAAATAGGTCTATGAGGTATTGCTTACGTGTTTACATTTAGGGTTACCGAATAAGCAGGTGTAAACAGCTAAGCAAATATAGGTGCAGTACCGATCTGTTTTATCATCATCATCATCATCCAGACTTTATTTATAACGTCCACTGCTGGACATAGAACTTCCTTAAACGTTTCCATTCTTTGCGATTTTCTGCTGTTTGTTGCCAATTTTTCGTGATAAGCCTGATGTCAGCCCAACGTGCAGCTGGTCTTCCTCTACTACGTTTGTCAACTCTTGGCCTCCAATATGTAATTTTACTCGTCCATCGTGAGTCATGCATTCTCGCTACAAGGCCTTTACAATTACATTTAAGTTCCGCTATGCATTCCACAACATTAGCAATACTCGTCCTTCTTCGCAGATCTTCATTTCTTATTCAGTCCAGCAACGTCACTCCCAGCATAGATCGTTCCATTCATCTCTGTGCAACTCTCAATTTCGAAACGGTAGTCTTGATTTCGAAGAGTCATAGTTTCCTCCCCCTAGGTTATGATCGATAATATGCATTGGTCAAATACTTTTCTTTTGAAACTAATTGGTACGTTGGTCCAAAGTGTGTCTCGCAGTGTTCCAAAGGCTGCCCACTCTAAAGTAATTGGTCTTTGGATTTGGAAAATTCCAATTAGTTTAACATATCTGTACCTTCTTCTAAATCATCTGTAATAAGGACAATGTCATCATCAAAACGGAGATGGTTAAGTTTTTCTCCGTCTATTGTTGCTCCTCTGTGGTCCCAATTGGCCATCTTAACGGCATACTCTAATGCCGTTATGAATAATTTCGGTGACATAGTATCTCCTTGCCTTATCCCACGTTTTATTTTTATGGGTCGGATTTTATCGTATATCATAACAGTCATAGTGGCATTTTTGTAAATATTGTAAATAAGTTCACTATACCTATAGTCAATTATACTGTTATTTATTTCTTCTATAAGGCTGTCTATTTCGATCGTGTCGAACGCTTTATGAAAGTCTATGAAAGTGAGGACAAGAGGTTTGTCGTATTTTAAAGATTTTTCAATGAGCGTCTGCTCATTGAAAAATCTGCCGAAATCCTGCCTGCTCTCTTGGTTGGTATAAATCTAATTTTCTCTCCAATTTTAATGTCACTAACCTAGTGGAGAGCTTGTATATGTGGTTCAATAGGCTAATAGGTCTATAAGTATCTAGGTCCGTTCTATCTCTTTTTCTATGTAAAAGGATGGTTATAGCTTTGTTCCATTCTTTGGGCACCTCTCTTTGCTGCAAACATAGATTAAAAAGTTTCCTTAATTGATTTAATAGTATATCTCCTTCATTTACGATAGCTTCTATTACAATTCCATCCTCTTCTGGGGTTTTGTTATTTTTCATTTTTCTTAACGCTTGTCGAATCTCATCTGCTTGTATTTCTGGCATTAGTTCGGAACCTTGATTTATGATCTTCTTTAAAATGGCTGTTTGTATTCCTGTTTGATCTTCTCGTCTACTTCCATATAATTCTTCGTAGAACTCTCCGAAGACCTGTATTAACTCGTCTCTACTTGATAATATTTCGTTTTACTTGTTTCTTAATTTATGAATTTCGCATTTCCCATTCGTTAGCTTTCTACGTTGAACTTTTAAGCTATTATTTTCTTGTATAGTACGTTTAATAGTATCGGATTTAAATTATCTTAAATCTCTCCTGATTCCCTTCGAAACAGTTTTATTTATTTCTCTTAGAGTGTGTCTGTCTGCATTCTCATTGCTTCTCATTTGTTTATTATTGATATGTGCCTGATATTGGTTGATATCTTATGGAAGCGTCCAGATACCATGATCTGTTTACCCATCAAAATATATAACAAAATAAAGAAGAAGAAGAAAAAGAAGAAAAGAAGAAAAGAGAAATCCGAGCGTCTTATTTGGTGTAATAAAAAAGGACAGAGCATTGTTGCTACGCACGACGCCTTCGTTTAATACAAAAGCATGCTCTTTTTACATATTGTTGAGAGACACATCATTTCTCTGTTGTGAATCGCTCCAAATAACTACGTTTAACACGTGTTACGGATTTTTGACTGGAACAGTCAACCTCTGTCCTACAAAGGTGGGCCCTCAACTATAATATAAGATCAAAAATATTAACGTACGTCGAGAAAAATTTTGGTTTGTACAATAATGAGGATATTTTACATTCTCTACAAAAACACCAAATTTTCAAAGACCAAAAAATTCGTCAGAGTTTAATTGAAGCAATAAGAGGCACAATGATCCGTTTGACGACAATATAAATAAACATAGTTTATTCAATATTTTAACAGGCAAATCAACTACTGAAAATGTTGCTTCTTTCTCACTCAATATTTAAAAAAAAAAGTCATCATCAAAAATATTTTATTTCGGAAAGCAGCTTAATACCTGGCAGAATTCGCAAACCAATACCACGGAACAAAATCTTAAATTTTGCTTTAGAG